TGCTGAATATCTATACTGAATGATTAAACAGAGGTATGAAACATATACAGGGCTTTAACTTCTATGTACAGTATTAAATTTGTGGCTTTTCACTTGATTAATGTGGTAGTTGTTTCTTAATTTAATTGGTCCAGTAAGATTAATGGCATTTGTTTTAGATGAGGCTAACTCTTGACGATTTGAATCTGTAGATCCAGAGGCATTACTACATGGGCAACCAGGTTCTGAAGGTCTTTGCAGCAAAAGATGATGAGGTAAGGTGAACTGAAGTCTAATGTGGAAGATCTTTTGCTGTGGAACAGAAAAGAATGATAGTAGCACTTGAAATTGTCCCTTCTTTCTGTGTTAATAACTATTCTTAATGCAGGTACAGAAGTCTTGTTCCATTGCCCATTAGGATGAAAAGAAGTTGGATTAGACCCCAAATGAATATGCTATCTAATGAATAATGAGATACTGGTAAATACTATGTTTGTGCAAGGGCATGGTGAACCTGAAATTGGTACTTAAGTCCATTCTCATGCAGAGCAACAGTGTGCCCTGTCACTGTGTTATTTAGAACAGACCTTCAAATTATTTTAAATATTAGATGTATAAACCTCATGTGTTCCTTTAAGGGTCTGACTTTCCTCCCTTTCTCTCTCTTGTGATGCTTCTGAGAGCTCATCACACTAAGTGGAAAAAGTGGAACATGCTAGATCTAAAGTTTGCTCATCTTTGAATGCATTCACTATCATGATGAGATTTGACCTTTCTGCTTCTTTGTTTTTTGAACATGAAAAATGCCTGTGTTGATGTTGTAGCTGAAATGGATACTGGTCTTGACTAAATCAATGCTGTTGAATTCACTGTGAAGGATGTATTTCAGCACACTAATGAGATCTTGCATGACTCTCTAGACTCTTTTTTTTCTTCCCCAGAATGCAGCAGTTGCTTTTTCTGCCCTTGTTCATGCATTGGATGAGTTGAAAATGGTAGCTATAGTGCGCTATGCTTATGATAGAAGATGCAACCCACAAATTGGGGTAGCTTTTCCATATATTAAGGATGCATACGAGGTAATTTTTCACCTTTACCTTTCTGTAGAGAGCCTTTGTATTGATGCATTACAAATATCAATTAGTAAATAGTCATATCTGAACCATAAGAATTTTCAGTGTTGTGTAATATCAGCAGAAACTAATGTGACTTTTCAGAGTGATTTTAGGAAATAGTATCAAGTCCTAGGAAAAGGAAGTAATAAATACTATTAAGAAAATTCTTATTCACATAGAAAAAATATGTGGGAAAACAATGCCATATGTTTCTATTAGTATCCTCTGTATTACAGATTTAAATAATACTGATTTTTATTTCAATAACATAGTAATAATTTCATTTTGTTAACTTGGAAATCTTAAATTTTTTGTATCTAGAAACAGTGTAATCACATACTTAAGTAATAAGTTACCACTTCTTTCTTACTGTGTAACTACCTAGCTCTCTGCATACAAATCCAAAGTTGCACTGGATTCTTTCATTTTATTAAACTGTGGATTTATCTCCAGGTTGCTTGGTAGTGCAAAATTTGAATTTGATCGCTGGCGTGGCATTCCAAGCGTGTCCAACTACACTGTTGTTATTAGGTTTCCAAGTCAGCTGGAACTGAGAGGAGGAGCACACAGCATTTAAAGCTGTTAAAATTCATATGGAGATTTAGGAAGACGGTAGTATATTTATTTACTTGAAAAGGTTATTTTAAAAAGCAGGAGAAAAAAATGACGTCTGTTTCTTAGGAAAAGAAAAAAAGGAAAGTTCTATACACAGCAGAATAATTTTAAAAATATTTTTAAAAAAAATTCTTAAGAGACCCAGAAGCAACACAGTGTGTCAGAACTTTTTCAGCATATGTTTCTACTGATCTTACTTACAAGAGACTATTGAAAGAGCTAAATATGTATAGCATGGCAAAGCAGTGACGAAGGTGGGGGCGGACATAACAGTCTTCAGACTTTTGAAGGGTATAAACATAAAGGATGGAAAGGAATTACTTAGAGTGATATGAAGTGGAGGAGGTATTTGAATAAAGAAGAAATTAGGCTGAGAATATTAGAAAAACAAGACCAACTTTTGAATTTGAAGCACAGTAAGCTGTGATAAAACCTCCCAAAGTGCCAATGTATGAGGCATTTAAAGCTTGGCTGGCTGGAACTCGGCACAAGAAAGGATCAGATGAGCTGGGAGGTCTTTATCCTACCAGTAGGAAAATAAGGAGTGCAGCTATTGCTGTATTTTAACATAATGCTCTGTTTTATTCTGCTTAAAACCTTGTTGCTCTGTAAATATTTTAAGTATTTTGATACACACAGGTATTAGATCTTTGGATTTTTCTTAGGTTTATATTGCCCTGATAGGGCACTTTGGCTTTGGCATACTTTAGGTTTTTTAATCTGGGCTCAGTTGTTTCTTTCTTCTTTTGCCTTGTTCAGTGTCTCATCTATGTGCAACTACCCTACATGGAAGACTTAAGACAGTACATATTTTCATCCTTGAAAAACAATAAAAAATGTATTCCTACAGGTAAGATTGTCCTTTGCTGGGAAACTGGACACAGTAACCTACTTGTCTTCCTTGAAGACACTCTAAAAGACCTAGAATATTTGGCTTTCCAATGAAAACACAAGCTTTGTCATTATTTTGGCTTAGGAAAAAAGCCTCAGCCCTTTTGGAATACATTATGGTGATGTCATCTTGAACAGTTGCAGGCTGAGCAGACTTGAGGTTTGCAGGCAGTCTTTTAAAATTGTCCTGTTAAATGACTTCTGGCTCGGGTTATGGGATTATTAGTCTCATAGGATCTCTGTGATTGACATCTAACATTTAGTCCTCCATATCCTTTGATCTTTGAACTCATTTGTTAGGCTAAATGGCCAAACCTTGTGGGAGCTACAATATCCAATTAACTAGCTAGAATTAGAATAGTGGCATCAGCTCCACTCATACAAAGCTGGTCCTGTAGCTAGTTGCAGTATGGCCTGTTAATAAAAAGTACAAAGGCAAAGACTCTATTAGACTGCATTTTCTGTGGTGTGTTTTTTAAAGTATGCACTTACTGGTGTCCAGATTCAGATGGAGGGCCTCTTTGGAAAGCTATAGAACATGCAGCCATACAAAGCTTGACTCACTGTTCTGAGAATTTTGCACAGCAATGAGTGTAAATGGATGTAGTTTAAAATCCACTCCCACTTCTTTAATGTGTTATGAGATCCATTGAATGGACGTCTGCACATCAGGCTATATAAAGCACGCTGGGTTGTTTCTGAAACAGTTTCTATTTTCTTGCCCATAACCAGCAGTTTGAGAACAAATTTAAAACTTGTCTTACCAAAGCAATTGTTGACTATTGTGAAATGTGTTAATTTGCAATCATAACTTCTAAAATTTATATTACACTATTTAGTTTTTCACACCAACTGTTCTCCTTATTTTCCAAGTGGCCTATAAACCTTCTGTTGCAAATAAAAACATCTTGAAAAAGAAGAAAAATGGAAGCAGAAAGGCAGCAATAATTGAGGTCCTGAGGGAGGGGGGGGGGGAAGGGCTTTATGGCTTTACATTGTAGTCCTTAGGTAAAGCAGGGGTTTTATTACTTTGTCCATTATCTGTATTCTTTATTGGCACGTCTATATCTACAGTGTGTTCTGTGGCATGTAATGACTTGGTCAAAATCTCACATTGTTGAAGTGAATCTTCATTTATAAATTGTTTCAAAAAATGCATCCATCTGCAAGTGTATTTAATTTTTCTTTGTATGTAATTGCTGCCTTAGCGGATCAGTTATCTGCTGTTGACTCTTTGATTGATTCTATGAATTTGGTCTATGAAGATGATGATGGAGAAACTTTTGAGGACCTGTTTAAGCCCAGCAAAATTCCAAACCCTCTTTTTCAGAGGTTATATCAGGTGAGATGAACTATATCACATTTTTTAAAAACAACTTTTTTAACGACTTTTCACCTTTCTGTCATTCTCTAGTTCATATTGGAAATATCTGCATTGTGAAGGTGGGAATATATATTCTTTTGCATTTAAGTGTGGAGTAGCCAGTAACTTCTATATTGTCCTTGACATAGATTTTATTATTAAAATTTCCAGTTTCCAGGAAACAAGGGAAATTACACATGTGCTGAGGTGTCTGCAACAGCATCAGTGGTATTCACAAGCACCCAGACTAAACAAGTTAAGACTTGCTCGGATATCTCAACACTGTATTGCTGTGATCATGGTGCGGTCATAGACTCAGTCTTCAGCTTCTGGGCAAAGAGAGAAATTGACAGAAAATCAGAGGTCTCTTTTGCTCCTCATTCTGTCTCCCATCAAATCTTGAGCAGAGTCACTTTTCTGTGCATTGTTGTATCTCGCAATGGTTCCAAAACAGATGACTCTGAGGTGAACTTGATCAGTAGTAAATCATAGAATCATAGAATGGTTTGGGTTGGAAGGGACCTTAAAGATCATCTGGTTCCAGCCCTGCTGCCATGAGTAGGGATGCCTTCCACTAGACCAGGTCGCTCAAAGCCTCATCCACCCTGGCCTTGAACACTTCCAGGGAGGGGACATCCACAGCTTTTCTGGGCAACCTCTTCCAGTGTCTGACCACCCTCACAGGAAAGAATGTTTCTAATATCTTATCTAAATCTACCCTCTTCCAATTTAAAGCCATTACCCTTCATTCTATCACTACCTGCCCTTGTAAAAGGTCCCTCTCCAGCTTTCTTGTAGCCACCCTTCAGGTACTGGAAGGCTGCTATAAGGTGGTTAACATTGTTGATGTTTAAAATATTCCACTTGGGTGTCTGAGCTGATGCATTTTACGGGCAAGCAGAACAGTTCACACTTCTTGAAGTTACTGTATCAAGCTGTCTACATATTGTTTTATATTCCTTTCATATAATGAAGATTTCCATTGCAACTGTGAGGATGAAAGACTTAATTATACACTGGAATTCAAGTGTTCAAAGAAATGACACAGCGTATTCAAAAATAAGGAAAATTATGATGCAACTTATGCAGCTGTAGAATTGTGTTGTGTACAGAGCCATGGAGATATACTGAGTGCATGACTCCACTCTGAAAATTGACCAAAAATGTTATTGCAACCATATTCATCATATCTCAACAATTCCAAATGAATTCTTTTCAGTTTACAAGTACGAATGCAGTGCTTTTTTAAATTAAGAAAACTTGCCCTAGCTTCCAAAGGCCATGCTGCCTCAGCTTTGTAAAAAGAAGCAAAGGATCTGAAGGTCGTATGGACATGTAAGCCCACTGTCTTCAAATCCTACTCTGATTGACACCTGAAGAGCTCAGTGTTCCCTTCAAATTCTGCCAGTCATATTGACAAGACAGTGTGTAACTGAATGCAAGATTTGGTCAGTAGAAGGTTATGGCTGGGCAACAGCTTAAAATGGATTGACCTCTGCTTGGCTCATGTTTTAGGAGGGGTTATAAAGCTTGGGTGTTACAAAACAGATACATTTTTTTCTTGTAATTGAAACACATAGATGATAGAATTTCCTCTATTATATCGCTAGATACACATTTGCATTTTTTTTTGTTCCATGGATGTCACCTGTCAATGAAAGATGTTTCTTTAGGTGTGCCATTTGACTTCTGAAGCAGTCTGATGGTGGTGTCCTAGCAGTTAAGTGCTGCTCGTAGAGGGTAACTGTGTAACTTGCCAGTTTCCTTAGATGATAATAGGATTTTGTAAGGGTGAATGCTACTGGTAGAAAAAGCATTTATTGACTCCTTCAGTGCATTAGGTAATATACAGTTCCTGTCCACAATGCTTGCTGGTAATAAAGCCCTCAATTGCCAGTCTTCTTAGTGCCTTCTTTCACCCGTGCACAGCCCCATTTTTTTTGTCTTGGTTACAAAACACCTATTAATCTGTGTAAGTTGTGAAAAAATTGTTCTCTCTTTTGCTGCAAACATGTTCCAGATTCCTAATATTTTGGTCTTGGACCAAGTAGCACTGCTGTTTCCTTAAGAATTATGAATTAAAATTATACATCATCTTTTGAATGGAGCCAGTAAATTGATTGGGCTGAACAGAACCTATAGATGGTTTTAGAAAAATAACTCTGAAGAAAGAATTAACTCCCTCTTGTCTCATGAAGATATTTGGGATGATAAGTGATAAAAGCCAGAATTTAAACAGAAGCATCAAGCTAAATTATATCTCTGGAAGTAGTGGTAGGCATCTGGAGTGGGAGATGAGGAATATCCTATATCCAGAGTTTCAACTTTTATTCCTTGCTTCCAGAAAAGCCTAAACAAACTTAATTAGGTGAGAAGCCCACTTCATTATGTCTGTTAACCAGTATCTTAGCATGACCCCTCTTCCTGAAAGCTGGCTACATCTCTAGGCTGGAAATGTAAGGAAATTAAGAACAAGGAGGAGCTAGTACATTGCCATCAATAGAATGGTGAGTCTGAAAGTCAGTGGCAGCACGAGTTGTCTTCTGGCTGGTGAAAGTAGGGGTGGTTCTTGCTGGGCACAGAAGGAAGAGGAAGCAAGATTAAAAGGGACTCTTTGGGATTAGAAACTTCAACTTAGATCTGTTCAACTTCATCTCCATTTAGCACCTGAGTTTTAATGGTACCTGCCATCTCAGGTTTTAGAGGTTATCACCTACTTTAAAAACAGGAACAAGTGGAGGGTGTGGCTACTCAGTCTGTTCAGCTCTTGCAGCTGCACACATAGAGATTTCGGATGCAAAAGCCTGAAAAACACATTCACAACAGGGAACTTAGTTTTTTTTTGCTTTGTGAGTTTAATTCCATCCTCTAATGTTATTTTAATATTGTTTTTTGTATCACAAGAAACATTACTGCAGCTTCCAGCAACATTTTTTTTACTCTCTTTCAAAATAATTATGCCTTAAATCATTACAAGTGTTTCCAAATCAGTAGCCTTGTATGACTGCCTCCTTTTGAAAGTATGCTCTAATATGGATTGGAATCTTAATGGCAGCATGAAATATCAGTATTGATGTGTAGCATATGGTCTGGATTTTCTTTATTGGCAGCTTTTCATCATGAATAGAGGGATTTTTTTGTTTGCTTTGGTTTTGTATTTTAAATTAATGTCATGTCTGACAGCCAACAGGGGAGCAAATCTCTGCTGTCTTCCTGGTTTACTGAATAGTTACCTTCACAGTTGTGTCTAATTCACCCAGAACAATGGGCTTGGAAACATTATTCTCCTATGTACATCATATGTTTTTATGTAAATATGTGCATGCACTGGTGTCTGTGTGTATATATGCACATACACTTACATCTCTACTGCTGCCCCGCTCTTCACAACATTCAGGAGATACTACTTTGTTTTTAAAATTCACGGTGGAATTCCTGTAGCCTGCCTCATTAACCTCATCTTTCTCCCCCTACTTGGTTCTGTGACTATGTGCACTGTCTTTATACTTTGGTGAAAAAGCCTTCTCCTCTGCAGCTCTTACCATCTGTTCCCACTTTGATGTACATCTGTCAGGCCCCTTCATTCCCTCACTCTTTTCAAAGCTAATGTGTAAACGTACCTATATTCTGTGCCTCACCTGTGCACATTTAACTTCTCTCTTTCCATTTGCTCTTAAACTGATGAATATGTCTCTTGTATGCATACTGAGTTCTGTTGACCAAGAAGAAATATTTTCTTTGAGGGAAAATAAACTGTGACAATAACTGTAATACGTTACTGGAGTATAGATATTGTTACCTAATTTTGCAATGTATAGAAATCTCTCTCATGTGACTGTTTTATATAGAACTGCATTTTAAAGGTAAAATGAAGTTAAAAAGCTGAATAGATACAGATCATGGTTTAATTCTTGGGATTTTCCTAATAATTTTCATAGCATCCATTCTAGTGAGTGTGGGAGCATTCATCTGTGTCAGTATTCTTGTTTAATATCATTATTAATCTCCTTAAACAGCTGATCATATGACTTTCAATCCACTTGTGAGCTGGAATATTTGTTAGCAATAAGAAGGTAGTTTCTTCAATATGGAGGGTACTCTGCATGTACCATATGAGGTCAAGCATACAGGCATTATATTAAAAGCACATAAACTAAAAGTTTTTCTTTCCTGAAATTGTTTCTTGCAGTGTTTGCAGCATAAGGCTTTTCACCCCAATGAGCCATTGCCACCAATTGAACAGCACCTTTTAGAGATGCTAGACATGCCCCGTGTGGTAAAAGAAAGGTGTCAGGCTCCGCTTGAAAAAGTGAAAGCACTTTTCCCCCTAAAGGAAGTTGGCAAGAAAAAAGAAGAGAAGACTGCTCAAGACATATTCAAAGACAAGTACGTTGGAGATGTATCGTGGATTTTTTTGAAACTTTTTTTAAAACTTCACATTATTTTAATTGGATGAAGCTGGCTCAGAGTCTTTTGAACATAAGATCAATCCGTTATATGCTATAAAAAATACTGGTGGGTGGGGAATATTGTGGTACCACAGTATGTTTGGGCTATTTAGTGAATAGTGGTGGTCTTCCTGTTATGGGGCAAGATGTAGCAGGAACCAGCCTGTAGCTTCCTTATATCTGTGTTTGTTGTCACAGAATCCATCAAGTTGGAAAGGACCTCAGGAGGTTTTTTGTTCAACCTCTGTTCAAAGTAGGGTCACCTATGAGATCTAAACAGGTAACTCAGGGATTTACCCAGTCTGGTCTTGAAAATATCCAGGGATGGAGACTGCACATTCTCTCTGGGCAACCTGTTGCACTGCTTACTGTTTCCTGGTCAAACAGTTTGTCCTACTGGTAGTTATAAAATAGTTCCAATAAGAATAACAGAGTCTAATTTAGTTTAGAATAAATGCTGTGGATCTTTAAATTAACTGCAAAGATGAGTCTTCCTTCTCAGAACGCTTGATTTAGGTTGTTCTATAGCTTTCATTTTGAATTTCAAATCACAAGAAAAGCAACTTCATTATTATCTGCTGTGCAATAAATGTGAATGTCTTGAAAAATCAAACTGTTACAGATTCTTCCTGGAACATGTATTACCTGAGCAGTTTTTAAGATAATTTTTTGTTTGTTTGTTTTTACATATATTGTATTTACTTTATTTGTGTTGCAAATATGAATAATGAAAACTTAATTGCTACTGCATTGGTACTGTCACTCCAGCCACAAGTCAGTTTACTCAAACAAAATCTGCTTCTTAGACCTTTTCTTATTGAATGCCTGTAATACAACTAGTGGATCCCCTGGGATGTTGGATAGTTCTCAGTTAGCTCCTTCTTCCCTTTTGCCATTTTTAACTCAGTCCTTTCAGTGCTAGGAACAACATCTTTGAGCCATTTTGAAGCCTTGCTTAGCTGAGCTGTCGTATATCCTTTACCTTGGGTTGGCTAGAGCCCCCTCAGCATGTTATCTTTGGGAAGACATGACATAGAACTTCTCACGTTACTGCTCTGGAATAAATGCCACATTTCTGTGTGTAGACTGGGAAGGACCTTGCATTTTATTTTGTTCATTGCTGTGTGTGCCTGTCTTGCCTTGGTGTGTCTGTGAATTCATATCGATTAAGTTCTCTTGTCCTTGCTCTGTGCCCCAGTTTGTGTGTGTGTACATAGATACACTTATATGTGTATTTTAAAAATTGATAGAACCAGTTGGTTTTTTTTGTTTTTTTGTTTTTTTAAAAGCAAAACTAGGGTTCAAATAAGCTACGGAGAGAATTTAAACAAAAAACAGTGACCCATTACTGGTAGTTGCTTAAATATATATGGCCCCAAAGGCATTAATTTGATAAGCAAGAAGGAAGGCTATTTTGTTTAAAAACTGGTTTCCTTCAGAGGGGTGATGAAAGCAGCTATAAAAATAATTGAGGTAGAAATTGGTGTAGGGCATTAAAATTATTTTTAAAAAATCTCTAGGGGAGGCAAAAGGGTGCAGACTTAACTTTGCAAAGACGAATGAACAGTAATAGGATTAAAAAGTATGAAAAAAACTGGTATTGCTGTAGTAATGAATGGGAACAGTGGTGTTGCCAGTACTACAACAGAAGTGTTAACTTTGTGTCTTTGTTCTGTGTTGGGAGAAAGCTGAATGATATAATGAAATCACTTGATAACGTGCATCACTCTGCAACAATGACCGAGGAGAACGTTAAACACCCAGTAATAATGAACTTATTAAACCCATCAGATCTAGATAATTTGCACTAAAGTGTTTTGAAAAAGTTGGCTAGAAGCTCTCTTGACCATTATTTTTCTAAAGCTGATTTGTGTCTCCTGTCATCATACTGACCTGATTAATCTCTGCTTAATTTTTAAGGTCTAATGAGATTAAGGCAGAATAATGGAGGCATGATATCTTAATACAGATTTTAATACTCTGCATTCATTTGTTTCACTTTTGCTAAGCTCTCTGTAGTTTGAAAATCCAGTAAAATAGAAAGCATTTCACTTTTTCCTTAGGTTGGCTTTGGAGATGCTGTTACCTAATCCAGCTTTGCAGTATGTGAGAGGCTTCTATATAAATGTAGAAGTGGGCGTTTTAAATTAATCTTGTATTTTATTAATTTTTCTCAAATAGTAGTTGCACGTTTTACAGTTTAAAAATACTTCTAATCAGTGCATTAGCAGTAACAGATTCTAAATGTCAGATCCTTGGCTTGTATAAATGGATATGGATTCATTAGTTTCTGCTGTACTGCACTGATTAATGACAGCTATAGATTTGGTCCTAGGCAGTTAAATGCAGCATCATCATTTATGTTCTCCTCCTTCCTCCAATCCTAAAGCATTTTGAATCAGTAAAAGTAATGCAGGAAGAAAAAGATTTTGAGACATTGAAATTGAGTGGAAAACACCTTCAGGGAAAAATATTCTAAAATAGAATTTTCATTGTTCTTTGCATCTTTTATCAAACCATATCAATATACAAGAATTTTGGTTCAAGTAGAAGTTCTAAACTCACTGGTGTTAGGTAAGTATCAGTTTCTCCATTTTACAGACAGGCATATCTCCTGTCTAAAACAATCAAGCAACATTTTCAAGGTCAGGCAGAAAGTCAGCAGAGTTGAGAATGAAGCAAGGTATCCTGTCCTTGTCCTGAGGCATAACCAAAGTCATCATTTCTCCTAGAGCGATAAGTAAGATGTTGGATGACAGGAGTTACTGAGGAGGAGGGATTTCATTTTGGTACTGACAAAATTAAGTAAAGAACAGAGAAGACTACTGAAACAAAGTGGGAGAGACACTGATTGTAAAGTAGGGGATGAGTGTGCTGTAGAAACTAAAAAGGGAGACTGTACAAGTTCTTTCTAATAGTTGATTGTTTCTGTAACGTGCAATGCAATCTTTAGAATCAGTTCTAACCTTGTAGAATGCAAAATGGCACCTAGTCCAGCATCTCTGGCTTGGTACCTGCATCGTCAAGCTGTTTCTTCTTTTCACTGCAGTAGCAGAGATTTAAGAAAAACTTCTCATTTTATTTTTTGATTCCTTGAACGCAAATACTGCTGTTTAGATTGCTGAGTAGCTTTCAGTCATTCTTAAACTGAAATTTAAGAATTTTAATTTAACTTACTGATTCTTCCATGTCAGTAGCCTGTCACATTAAGGGACACAGAACACAGTGTCTGATTTTCTTCCCCTTTTGTAATTGGTTGGATTTTCTTCTATTGCCAAGATGTGCTGTAAAGTTTGGCATGTTAGGTGTTACAATTAAGTTCCTGGTTTGAATGTACACCTTGGTATATGTTAAAAAAAAAAAAAAAGCAAAGGTAGAAAGTAGTCTAAAATCACAATTAGCTTTTTAAAAATTACAAATAGTCTTTTGAAAGCATTATGAGATGTAGCTTTAAATGTCCTAAGAGATTTCTTACATACTTAATTGAGATTTGTCTAGCAGCTTTTGACTGCTGTAAGTGGAATTTTATAAAGGTCTTGTGTGCTGATGGAGAATATGGGTCATAATTCAAAAATCGCTGTGTAAACAGATTTGTAGTAGCTATCAATTCCAAGAGAGGAACTAGCAGGTGATTTTTGAAAAGTAAATAGATTTCTTACTTAAATGTTAAGTTTTGTTGCTCTTTCATGTTTGACAAGATTTGATTAGAATATCAGGTGTCATATAATATACTGTAAATCATATACTGTAAATTATCACGGTTAACTCAATGTGTAGGTTCCAAATAAAATGACTGTAGATATTACATATTTATAAAGGTGGAGAAGATGCATATGAGTAAATTCACTCCTCAGATAAGCACAAATAGTCTCGCATCTTCAACAAGCAATGCCATTGCTGTATGCTAAGACTGATCTCTATTTCTGCTGTCTGCTTTGTGCAGCCTATGGGAAAAATGAGGCATAGTTTAGTGTTAATTTGGGAGCAGCTGTATACTGAAGTTTTGTCCAACATTCAGTGTTCATTTCATTAATTTACTGACTTTTCGTTAGTAGGCGGAACAGTTTACTTTAAGTGTTTATATACATTTCTGTCCTCCTTATTTACAGCAGTGAAGATGGACCCAACCCTAAGAAACCAGCATTTGAAGATGAGGAAGGTAGCTTTAGCATCATGAAACTTGCTGAAGGCAATGTCACCTCTGTAAGCATATTTTTACAAATCTGATTATTAAAGGGAAGATTAATTTATCTAAGTATATTATAATAAATATACAGAATTCCTGATAAAAGGACAATTTTTAGCTGAAACATGACTGAAATATTGTCTGCTTTTAGATTTTAGACTGTTTGCTAGAGATTTCAAAGACAACTTCCTCTGCCCTTGGTTGTATGTTAGCACAAGTTTCCATCAGTCTTGCATATTTTTTGACAAAATACTCCCCTGGTGTCTAGAAATCTCAAGGGCAAACATGAGGATCTGAAGAAAACAGAATCTCAGATTTGGGGTTCAGTGGTTGAATTTATTCTTACTCTCTTTCATATCATCTGCAACATAGAAGTTGCCTCTGTGTATTTAATCAAAGTCATTGCTGTGAATTTTAGACACTGTTCTCTGCGTTGGTTGGGGTTCTAAATCACAAATTTGGCTTCATCTTGCTGATAGGTTAAACATGTAACTTAATTCCAATTATTGTGTACCTGGGGGTAGCTGAAGCCTGTATCATAACTGTGCACCTTTTTCAAATTACAGGAAAAAAGGTGATTTAATATTAATTGAAATAACTTAATTTGTTTTCAAACTACCCTTTAAGGTTGTTTTTTAAAATGCATGATTGAGATTTTTATAAAGATCTAAAATCTAAAAAATTTTTAATATTTTGTACTCCTAATATACACTTTTGATTTTTCCTGAAAAGTGGCATTGCCAGATTTAAAAGAAACATCAAGACACCAAGCAAGCTTATTGAAAGACTGAATAATTATTTTGACAGCAAAGCATAGAATTTTCAAATCAACTTATGAGAATTTTGATTCCTGAAAGGAAATGTTAAGCAATGTATTTTTTTTTTTCCCCCCTGAAGTTATTGCATCCATTTTTCAGTAGATGTTTGTTTATATTTGACCTGGTTTTGGTTCTTTTGTAAGGTGTCTGCACTTCTATTTAGAGCTTTAGCTTTGAGATGTTAGACTGAGCCAGAAACGGTAGATGAATTGAGTGCAAGCTTTTAATTTTCAGCTTCCTACTGGAGTGGCAAACCAGTGGCTCTGTACCCACATATCTGGGAGCTCCCATTCCTCATTAAGCATCTGTCAAGATTAGTGAGAGGTCTGTGGTACAGAAAGTCTCAAAGCTGGACTAGTAGATAGCCTGAATTACTGTGCTTCTGACCTCTAAACCCCAGAGAATATGGTTGGCTTATAACAGTGTAGCTCACATAGTAAGTTTAAGTTCATCTTGCTCATGTCATGACTAACCTTTGCTGGGAGTACTGCATGTTAACACACACTGTAATACTTTCATTTTATGATTCTGCATGGAGAGAGTTGTAGTGCTTCTGTTTCCTTATTAAAATAAGCAGAAATTTAAAGATTCTTGTTGCCTTACAAGAAGAAAGAGATGGATATTTGCAGACAGTTGTATCATTTTTGGGCCTTTTTTAGGTTGGCAGTGTTAACCCTGCAGAAGATTTCCGAATTCTGGTGAGGCAGAAAAATGCTGACTTCAAAGACGGTAAATGACTTTTATCTATCTTAATTATATTTAGGGTTAAGTAATGCAATCCATTTGTCTAATCATAAGTTTCTGGTGCTATGTGAGATGCTCTGGAGTTTACTGCTTAGCTTCTAGTGCCACTTGGCAAAGAAAGGTGTCACTCGTAATTCCCATGTCAGTATTTGCCTTCCCAATTGGAAAGTCTGATACTCGTGTTTGTGTAAGATGGCAGTAGACAGCTACACTGAGGCATCTGAGCAAGTCCTCAGGTGTTTCTAACATAACATCCCTTGGTACTGACGGACTGCCTCATTCAAACTCGGTATCAGCTTCTCATCTGCCTTCACGGGATCTTTCTGGCTTGAAGTGGAGAGCTGTTGGCTGCATGCATTGTGATAAACCTTTCTTCTTCTACCTACTTTGTTCTATGAAGAAGTAAGAGTCTGATGCCTGAGATTTAAATCTACATGCAAAGATCATTTCTTCTTGTTGTGAGCAAAAGAAAGCATGGGTGAATTTAGGATTTAATAAGCAGGTAGTATGTGATTCTTAAAGGTGAAAGCAGCATCTCTGTGCACTGAATCTATTCTCAGTGCACAGCAAGACAGGGTTTTGATGCAGAAGTGAGGAAGAATACAAAGCACAGGTCAGCCACTGTCTTGCGTGCCCTAAGTCTGAAAATACAAAGAAATTATCATTTGTTTGTATGGTATTTTCCTACAGGAAAAGGTATACAGAGTTGTATGTGATCCAAAGGTATACAGAGTTATGTGTGATCCAAAGGTATACAGAGTTATGTGTGGTCCAAAGGTATACAGAGTTATGTGTGATCCAAAGGTATACAGAGTTATGTGTGGTCCAAAGGTATCCTAAAAAGAATGCACAAGATGGATGGGGTCCTTTTTTCTTTTGAAGGATGATTTGAAGGTTGTGTCAAGAAAAACCTCATCTGACAAATAGCAACTAATGTAGCATTTCTTTTCAAAGAAAAAAAATTGCAGAGGTGCCGAGTATTTCAACAAGGCCTTTGGTCATAGTTTGAGGAGGGTTTTGAGTAGTATATTTATTTGTGATATGGTCTGTTAAAGCCTACATAGCTATTTCTCTCCAGAATTTCCAGACCTAAAAGCCTATAAGCTTTTTACTTGGGTTTTGCATTAGATCCAGAAGTTTATTGAAAAAAAATATTTGGAATTATGTTCTCAAATCTCAGATATATTAAGATACAGTAAAAAAAGCATTGTATGTTATATTAGAATATAGAAGCTGCAAAACAGTTGACTACTTTGTTACAGTAATTAATTTTATAATGTAGGAAAGCTTTAAGGCAGAAATAAGTATAGTGATTATCCTTGAAAATGGTTTAACTAAAGGGTGCTTAAATATGTCCACCTGGTAGCTGTGCTGGAGATAACTGTGATACACATTTAGATGGCTTCTGAAATTTTGAGCAATCTGCTTTTATTTTACCTGCGATCTACTATGTAGTTAGAATGTAGTGCAGTCACCCATTTAAAGGAGAGATAGAAGCCACTGTAAATAAAAACATGCTCTGCATATTATTTTTTTGTTCTGCATAATCCTTTTTCTGCTTCAGAGCCTTTTAGGTAGCTTAATACATAAGCCATTACAGGCATGTTTTTAAAGGCTTGCTGTATTGCATTCTGGTTATGTAAATAGTAAATTCTGCCTTAAAACTATTCAGTAGTTCTAAGGAGTTCTTTTAGTATAATTTTATGTCATGTTTAGTGATTAAACTTTTTTTTCTCTACTAGAATATGTGAAATGTAAAATGTCTTTGTAGGAAAGGATAATCTGTGGCATTTAAATAGTTTATTGGAAAAAAACCCCAAAACAATTGCATTATATGTGTCAGGATGCAGACAGGAGAACTATTAGGTTGCATCCTGTTTTGCTTCTTTCTTGTATAAAAATAGCATCCAGTGCAGTCTTCCAAACTGAATAGAGCCTACATTCTCTTTTTTAAAAAAGGCAGCAATTCCTTCTTCCTCCTTTCCCCCACAAAATAGGGAGGAGAAAGGACTTTCAACAGTTTGCTTGGGGGTGAATTTTTTTGGTAGAGAAGTTGTAGCAATAGGAAGAGTTGTACTTTAATTACTAACAGTACAGTGGCTTTTTAATTAAGCTGCAGATCAATGGCACACATCCTCTTCAGTCCACAGCAAGTCTCTCACCAAAAATAAAGTTATCAAGCCCCAAATTTGGCAAGGAAAAATTTGATTTTAAAATTTTTTTTAAACAGCCTGTAGGAAGTCCTGATGGTATATTTATCATTGAAAATGAGTACCAGTGCATCTCCTGCAGTGGCCTCATTGGGATTTGATGATCAACGTTTCTACCATTCATAGGAGAAGCCTATGTGCAAGTTAGCCCATGTCTGAATCCTGGGTCCCACAGCAGAACAGAGCAGGAGAAAAGATGCATTTGCTGGTAGTGAGAACTGGGTCACTAATGTGTAAATACTTTTTTTTAATCTAGAGGTTTTCTGGTTTGCATTCACGGCTAGAGAGATGTCATAGATGTCATTTTATGCAGGTCATTTTTTGAGCAGTTTACAACTGCATGATCATCACTAAAAGCAGTCTTCTGATAACAGCTTCTGACATTTTTGTCAATGAATGCAAATAAAATAGATCAGTTTGTGTAAGTGGAATCTAATCATTACTCCCAAGGGTATACAATGAGTTTCTTCATTGCTGTGGCTGCAAAGAAGAATCTCTAATATAGTGAGTACTTGCCATCTTTGTAATGCCAAAGGAGTAGCCACATGACTACCAGTTCATCCTGTTTGGCTATGTACAGGTTGCCATCCATGTCTGCACTGCTGGAGAGCAGAAGGTGTCTGATACGGGGTGTTGTATTTTCATACACTTCTGTAGAAGATGGGTGGTAAAAAGATACTGACACATGCATAGTATTTTCTTTGATTTGTAAATTTTCTGTGCGAGTTTATAGGCCAGATTTCATTGCATCTTACAGGACTCCTGTCTGAGAACTTGGTGTCTAAAATCCTGTAGCTGAAAGGGCTTTTTTTATTTTACTGATTGTCACTGAAGAGAGAAATGTGCAGTGACAACTGCACAGCTTATGGACACAAGAAAAAATGTCCAGAGACAAATTGTACCAAACACTCATTTTTATGTTTATAGCAAGTTTTTTGATATTTTTATTTCTAGACATTTCTAGAAAAGTAAAGTTTTACAAGTAAAGTTTGTTTTGTTTTTTTTTAGTAAAGTAGAGTCAGTAATTGCATGTGTAGATTTCAGCAAATACTCTGTTGTGCCTGAGGCTTGCCACCTTTGCCATGGCATGTGGATAGCTTCCTAAGTAAAACATAAAACACTGATTTTGCACTGGATGCTTTTTACACATAAAAGAATTGTGTGTAGGAGATTTGCAATGGGAATTTATTAGACAATTGCAACAAGGATGATATTTTATTGCAAGATTTTCTGTAGAAATGTATATAGTTAACTACCTTTATAGACCTAAGATAATTAAAAAAAAACCCCTAGTATTTACTTTCACTTTTTGTTGGCATTTGTCTTTGCAGTTTGTCTGCATTTTTATCTTACTGGATGTTTTTGTGTGTTTTGGAGACTATTCATGCTCTACTGCTAGGTAGGCCAAATGCAATGAATGATTTAATGAAAATGATTCAGTCATTGGAAGAGTATTTGCAAACCAAATACTTGAGTATATAAAATCACTTTGAAGTTTCCTGTATGTCTGCTTCACAGAGAAAACAAAGCCAGGTTAGTCTTTGAAGGGCAGAGCAATCGGGTGTGTGTGATGCAAAGCTCTCAGTTGCAACAAACAGAATTTGGATTAGATGTTACTGCGAGGAGGGGGGAGAAATCACAATTATGGTAATCAAACACAGAAAGAGGGGCCCAGAGAACTTGGAGACTCCTCATCTTTGGAGCTACTTGGACCTCAAGTCAGTGGAGCATTGAACCACCTGATCCAGTGTGACCTTGGTTTGAGCAGGGATGTGGACTGGATGTCCTTCGGACATTCACTCTAAATTCGTTCTCATCCATACCCACAGACCATTTAGAGAGGTCATTTCAAAATTGAACAGCACCTCATAGGCACTAGAGTAGTTCAACAGCTCTTGATCTTAAAATTTTTATTTTTTGGCTTAAAGATGAAGGAAGTCCTTAAAAAATTAGGACAGTTTTCTGTTTATAATCTCTTTCATCTTTTCAGCTACAAAAAGATGATACTTAGCAGTAGTTTAAAATTTATTGTCAGGTGGTTTAACTGATTTGCCAGTGATTTACTTTAAGCACTGTCCATTAATACAAATCATTAACACCACCAGTGGATAAATCAAAAGACTGGTAACAACAGGAGTCTCTTGTCTACAGAAAGAGCAATTTTTTTAACCTGATGAATTTTTTTAAGGGAGAGGAGGGATCTGCAAGGAATTGGAACTTGGACCATCATACAGCCTTAAGTATTACTATGCTGTAATCTGGTTGGCATAGTAATCAAGACCAAGGACTGAACTGAACAAACATGAAAATATAACTATACTTTTGTACTGTAGCTATTCAGGGATAACAAGTGAATATAATTGTTCATGGCATATTTCACAAGAAATAACAACATTGGTGAATGTATTTTAGAGTAGGGACTGTATCTGAATGCCAGTGGGGAAGGGATTAAGAACTAAAAGATCTTATATATTTTTTTTTTTAATTTTTTTTTTTTTTTTACCTGTAGTACTCCAGCCTTTTATCACTATGTTTGTTATCTAACCAATCAGGTACAGTAGAAGAGAGAAAGAGAAGATTAAAATTTCTAGGGATGATCTGCAGAACATGATGGAATTCCAGATTATGAAAAATATAAAATTTCATTAGTTCACTTCCTTAAATGTGTGGAGGGAATGATGGAAGTTGGGAGAGAGGAAAAAAATTATTACACTTCAATGCAGTGGCCTAAATAAACTGTCAGTTTGTAACTCTAGGACCTGCTCTTCAAAACCTCAGTGCTTGAGATTTGTCTGGGACACATCAGAGTTAATGCTAATATTCATGACTTGCTTAGACATCTTTATGCAGAACATGCCTTTCTTCAAAAACAGGGAGATTTCTTTTTTGTATCACCTAAAAACACAGATTCACATTAATGGAGAGGCAGATGACAGGCAGCAGGAAATCAACGTTTCTCAGACCTACAAGTGTCAAGGGAGTGTTTACTTCAGTGAGCTTCCAGTTATAATCCTCACCTGTCATCTCTGATATTGTCTTCAGCCCCCTGAAGTAGTTTGGTAGTCTTAATCTCAGAACACAGGAATTCTCTCTGTTTTAGATTCATCCATCGTTGGCCTGTCATTTAAGGGAGACCCAATAGACAGACTCAATTTTAGCCAAGCTGTTTCATGATGTTAGAAGAATCTGTCTTAAAATATTGTTGCCCTGTAACCTCTTTCCTGCATATATTATGGTCTTTCAGTGCCTAATAAAACATTGTAGGGTTTTTTGGTTCCTTACAACAGATTTCAAAGGGAGGCAGCTCACAGTCAGTAGCAAGAAAAGTATTTTCTTCTGATGCCAGCCAGTGCAATCAAATGAAAAAGGATTTTAAAAAAATCAGATGCAAAAGAAATAGTAGAGTGTCTGATAATTTCAAACAGTATGCTGGAATCATTCTGACAATAAAGACTTTTATTGCACCCTCTTAGTGCCTGGGGTTTTAATTTAACACATCAATGAAAAAGCAAAGCTTAAAAAAACCCACCACCACCAATGAAAAGACCAGCAGGACTTGGCTTTATTAGTGCGATTCGTAAGAAATTAGAACACTTAATGAGAAAATCGTTAACCATGAAAAAAATGGACTGAGTTAACTTGGGGAGCTTAAGTAGTGAGAATTCAATTTAGTTTGTTAGCTACTGTTAAAATAAATAAAAAGAGTGAACTGATCACCTCTGGAGCAGTAGGCACTTCGGGACACTTTCTTGTGTGATAGCTGCTGTTGGACAGAACCATTATCCTCTTCCTTTTCTAGAAAATCTATAGAGTCAAAACCTAGGGGGACAATATCAAGCATGTCTTATTTTGTTCTTTTCAGAGATGCTGTCCTTCACATTCAGTTCTATTGTGCATTTTATAGAACATAAGTATAATGGCTAGCACTGTGTATGCTTACAGTGAGCAGAGTGGAATACAGTATTTAAATAATGTCTGCTTTGTGATGTCATTACTTATCTTTGTCTCTTCCATCACTCTGGCAGGTGATTTTCTATGTTGATGTTTCCATGGCTGAAATAGTGGCAGTGACATATATGCCCATAACATCTGAACATAAGAAGGGCTGTAGGTGAGGCTAAAGGTAATCCAGTACCTGTCCCTCACAGTACAAGAACAGGACAGGCAGATGCTGTGACTTATCCAGAACCTGCATTTTCTTCCTCAATGGTAACATCATCTTTAGTCTCTCTTGATAGAGTTCCTCTTTTAAGAATTACAACATTTGTTAAAGCTTTTTTTTTAAGCTCTTAAAACTTCCAGCATCCCACAGCAGTCTGTGGTAAACAGGTTAACTGGTTTTGTTTGAAGAGGTGTTTTTCTTTCGTTTGTTCTTAACCCAACTCTTTGCTCTTGTTTTGAGAGAGGCAGTGGACTATCACTCCCTATTCATCCTTTTCACAGTGCTTCTGAGTTTGTAGATCACTGTTGTAGGCTTGTCACACTTGTCTTTTCCCAGGCCGAGTTGTCTGCCAGAAGCTAAAATTGGACAATTCCTCACCTATAATTAAACACGAAGAAAATAAAGTACTAAAATACAGCAGAATTTAGTTGGGCTTGCAGAGCTCTTGGTGACATTTTCACTTGTTAGGTTTGCAGTGTTTTATAGCTAGATACCTTTTAGGAGCTCAACAGTGAGGATGGAACTGGTATTCCACTTCTTGGTACAAGTCCCCTTGTTTGCTTCTGCTTCTCTGTCAGGCATGCACAATTTATAATACTTATCTCCATAATCATAAAATTGCCCTGGTGAAAAATCATCAAAGTACCTGCACAGAGACAAGATATACTCTAACTCCAATCACCTTACAGCTGTTGTTTTGACGTTCTTACACTTTCATTGTAAATTTAACACTTTTATTGAAATATACATGTATTTCAAAGGATGTTTAGGGGATATGCTTTGCAGTGTAACACATAACCTCCTTCAGCCTTAGGATCCCAAATGTTCTGGTTTTACTTTCAATCAGACAAGCCAGACCAGTGCTTTTTTTTCTTGACTTTCAGTGAAAGACTTTTGCCTTGGCCATGCTTGGGTTTCCTCCTAGTATGTCTAGCTTTTCCAGAAAGGCTGAAGTAATTATCAGTAGCTTAGACAACAGTTATCAACTTGAGTAGCTTGAGGTGGTATGGGTATGATTAACTCTTTTAATGTGCGTGGAATTGAAAAAAAGAGATGGAAAGGAAAAATATTTTTTTGCCTTAAAAGTGTGCATTCTTTGATTTATTTATTTCTCCTTGTCTTTCAGTGAGTCAGCAGTTGATAAACCGCATTGATCAGTTCCTGGAAAATAAAGGTTTACAGTACTACATGAAAGGGATCAATTGTATCAGAGTTTTCAGAGAGGAGGCCATTAAGGTAATGTTAATATGTGAAAACTCTCATCTCTTTCAGATTACAGACAAGATGGGCCTATTGCTGTATTAATTCCTTGCTACAGCAAAAAGAAGTGATTCATAGATTAAAATCTGTTATGCTGTTTGAAAGTTTAGAAATATGTTTCTGTTTTATGTTTCTTAATTCTTATTGGAATGGGGACTAGTTTCTCTGATATTATTTGCTGTTTGTTTTCTTTTAAACATAAAATAATGTAAAAATAAAATAAGCAGTCCTACAAATTTATTCTTAAATAAAGCTAGTTACAAGGAAGTCTTTCTAGCTTTCTGAAAGGCAGTTTTTGTGTCTCACCTTTGCTTAGAACTCTTGTTTTTAGTAGAGATGACCAAAATCTGTACTAACTTTTGTGTTCACCATGTTAGGTGACTTCATGAAGAATTAAATTTGAAGCACTCTTTAGTAAGCTACTTTAATATTTCTCTAATTGCTATTACTTTTTTCAGCTGTCCAAAGTGCCATGCTTTAATGATTTTCTGCGGACCCTGAAATCAAAGGTGGAAGAAAAAACCTTAGCTGATTTCTGGGAGATTGTGATACAAGGTAGGGTGGAAATTTAAAAGGAGAAAAAAAAAAAAAGGTATTTCTAGTTGTATTATCCATTATGTCAGAGAAAACTTTGTTAGGAATGGGACACTTAAACTGACACCAGAGCAGCATTTGATATGGTTCATTCCTGCAGCCTGTTTAAAAAAATAATTAAAAAAAAATCACATTGCAACTTCCTTTTTTGCACTAATAGTTTCATATCAGCAATATCCATAATGCCTTGCCAAGTCTTGTTGAAATGGTAAATTAATTGTGGAAGAGAGAGACAAATTAAATGTTATAGGGTAAGGAGAGGAAGATACGATTTCAGCTGAATTTCAAAATAAATGGAAAAAACTCATGCGGCAGAGATATAAAAAGATTCTTCCAAATTAAGCTTCAGAAAAGGCATAGATAGCATTGAAATATGTCACTGATCATTTTGTGTTTAACCAACCTGAAGGACAGAATCTGTGATAATATGACACCTACCTATGATTAAACTGGGAGATACAAGGCAGTGCAATTCCAAGACATTCAGAGACTACGCAAGTGATAAATAAAGGAACATTTTCACAAATATGAAACATGGTGGACTAAAAAAATCTTTTACGTCCTGTTTTTAATTGGAACCAGTGCTAAGAAAATCTGTTAAATGCCCAGCTGTATCTCTTAAGGATGCATGCTATAAAATGCAGTTACATGCTTTTGTAAAGTGCCTTCTGAAGTGATGAACTCCAGACACTCTAATGTCTACTTTATCCAACTTTTTCAAAATACAAGATGGGAATTTGTTTAGCAACTCAAAACAACAGCACATGACAACACTGAAAGAATATTATATTCAGTAGTATTGTTGGGGACCTTCTCTGAAGAAATTTGAAAGAAAAACAGACACCCACAACAAACTTTGAAAGTATGAAACTTGGATCTTCCAAAGCCATGCTTGAATACTGTTTTAATAATTTTAGTTGGTACAAACTGGAGTATATTTTTGAGGAAAAAAAATTACAAATACAAACAGAGATAATATTTTCATGCAAAATAGATTATCTTCTTGTGAGAATATGATAAAATTATGGTGCTTTATGCATAATCTAGCTGTTCTCACTAGGTAACTGAAACTGCTTTTCACTTGCTGCTACCAAAAGCAGAAGTCCTGTTTTCCCTGCTTCTTGCCATGTGACCCATCCTCTCTTTTCTACCAAATGTGACATGCACTGGGCCTTGTCATGAGCAACTGTAATCATCAAAAGAGGATGGATGTGAGTTAATGGGTTAGTGGCTCTGGGGCAAGGTGGATCTGTTTGATAAGTTCACTTGTCTCATGAAACATTTCCATGTGGTTCTATGGGCACATTAAGGTGGCATTGCACCTGTGCTGCTGCTGAAACCTTTGTGAATCTACTGTTCTTTCCTCTCACAACCACAGCTTCTTTATTCAGGCACAAGCATCTGTGTAGCCAAGTGATGAGATAGACTGGAAAAACTATTGGGGTAAAAAACAATTGAGGTTTGGTGTTTGTTCGATTGATTTTTTTTTTTTTTTATTATTGTTATTTTTATTTTTTTTTTAACCTGAGAGTCTGCAGAGGATGGTGGAGCTGGCACAACCAGGGAGCAAAGTGAGGGCAGGACGAGCACTTTGGTAGTCAGACTATGGGTAATCACAGCATAAGTGTTTGTAAGTTAGGAGTTAATTTTTCTAAGGCTACTAGGGATCTAAGAGCATGCTGTGAATGATTAAAAGTGCAATTTCTGATAGATTTTCAGCAATTCATCTGTGATCTATGATTTCAGTGTCTCATTAGTTTGATTGTCATAATATTAGCAGTTTCCTAAATGGATACTTCCACAAGCTTATAAATATGCTCATTAATTTATTTTTATATCATAGTTGACTCATTTATGCAAGTCACATTTTCCTTTGAGCAGTATTTTTTTATTTTTGCTGGTGATGATGACACATTCAGAAGTTGGAAGACTTTTTTCATTTCTAACATTAAGTGCATTTTTGGGAAGCCTTCTAATGATATTTTTATATCTCTTTTTAGACAGAATTTCTTTGATCACTAAAGATGAAGCAGAGGGAAGTTTGGTGACTAGTGAAGAGGCTGAAAAGGTATCTTTTTTTTTAATAAGAAACTACTTGTACTGAGCCTTTGCTCTGGAACAGAAGATCTTTCTTATGTGGATAGATCTTTAGATGAATGTAATAGGATCCATATGAAGGAAGAAGAGTATCCTTTTGCCACACAACTGAAATTACCCCAATTCAGAGCAAAAATAATTCCGTAGCATGTACCACAGCATTTTGCTTTAATGAATCTTTAGAAAGTAGCATTATCTGAAAGTATCCTCTACAAAGAATGGGAGCTTCAGGAACTCAGTGTAGTGGAACAGCAATGGACTATTTATATATGCAAAATCACTATTTCAACTTCATAAAAAGAACTGTGTTCTCATTGCTTGCACATGGGTTCAAAAATAGAGATACTTTTTTGTCTAAAGCCGTTGTGAATTCTAGCAATATAAAGTTGTTATGGATAGATTTCACCATATGTGCAACCATATCAGTATTTTCCACTTTATGCAACTCTTGTGGGTTGATGGACATCGTAGATGGTGCTGATATTGGTGATCATATTAGATCCTTTCGGAAACAAAAGTTTTGGAGTATTTGCAGGTATCTTTCTACAGAAATGTAACACTTCAGTAACTGCAGTGATGAATGAAGGATGTCACAGTTACAAAGGAGTGAATTCTAACAGGCAGAATGATGCCTTCTGTTTGAAAGAAAGCAGAATTCAGTTGCTGTCAAAAATCGTATTTGTGTGGAGAGGGTAAGACAGGCATTCTTGTTATCAGGCTTCTAGCTATGATTTTAAATAGTTTAGAAGAAAAAAGGTCCGTGTATTACAGACCCCTCAAGGTAAACCTGTGGCTAAAATCACTAAGTACTTCACAGCGACGCAGCTTTTCTAAAACATGCCACATTCCTTTTCTCAACTTGCAGGCCTTGCATGAGCAATAACCAGAAGGGGGTACGCTCTCTGGGAGTGGATTAATGAATGGGTAAAAGGTTGTATTTTAGAGACTGCTTTTTTCATCTGTTACAATTTACCTCAAGGTGAAGAAGGCACAGAAATGTCATGAAAATGAAAAGCTAACAGACTAAGAGTCCAGAAAGCTAAGCATATGTGCAGATCACAAAAGACAGAATATGATGGTTTTTTCTAGACATGAAGGACCTACTGGCTGTTTCTCATCATGCATAATTGTATAGAGCAACTTTTTTCCCCAGTGGTGGTTTTAAAGAGAAAATTTTGCTTTGAGGTTATGAGGCTGTAAAATCTAGTCCTCTTTGGTCCAGTTAAACCCTGCCACAGGTTTCCTATGTGATACAAAGCCAGCATTTTCCTAAGTCTCTAGTAGACTGCAAAAATGGTTCATTTATTTTCTATACTGAAGGTGATACCCTTCACTAAAGAGTTAAATTGAGTCTTCTAAAGTATCAGATTGTAGAGTAATACAAGTTTTCTTCACCTCTGTAACAGGTCATATGCAAGTGTGCAGGTCAAGGGATTGGCTGTCAGTGTGGTCCTGTGTGACACAAAAGCCTTTTCTCTTTTGTGCAGATTACTAGCTGATAACAGTTTCAGGACTGTTTTAGATATAAGATTTCAGGTTTATAGGGTTGCTGTTTGAAAGAGAAAAGAAGACTTACAAGATTGGTAATGTGAAAATTTTCTTTTTCATTGAGCTAGGTTATTTTTTCCTTTCACTGGGAAAAATGGTTTTAGGTAGGGTTGGGTTTTTTTTTTTTTCTGTAACAGTGGAGATACTCTTTGTAGAGCATAAGGATGATAGGTTAAAAGAGCAGAAATGTCAAGTGCTTCTTCTGGTTGCTGTGGGGAAGATAATGGATTTCAGCGTGACTATTATATGTAATTTGCTTTTGCATAAATGTAAAACAGGTTTTGGATAAAAAACAACTTTGGATGTTCAGCATTTGATGGAAACTTCAAGTTTCAATTTATTGCAAATTTTCATCTTACATTTCTGTAGCTTTTAGCTTTCTTTACCTAATTTAGTGTGGGAAAGCTAATTTTGAAAAATGTGCTACTTTCAGAAATACCATTTGACTCTTAATTAACTGTGTAAAATGAAATTTGATCTGGCACAAAAAGCCTTTCAGAGCTGCCAGTGTCATTAGCTTTTAGTTTGATAGTATGTGCTTTATATTACTACTAGATTGAGAACTTTTCCAGCAAAAAAGATACACAGACATATGACATCTTGACATTCTAATTCCTTCTGGCCCTGTCACCTTTTCTTTTTTTTCTTTTTTCCTTTTTTTTTTTTAACAGCTGCAAAATCTATACAATAAGTTGAAATCAGCATGTTAAGACATAAGTGCTGTCTGTGGAATAAGCCTTCTGCATTCCTCTTGGATGTTGCTGTTTAGCTGTTCCCTTTCATTATCTAGAGTTATAGCAAAGTTGATTCTGAGTTAAGGATGATGGAACTCAAAGTCATGGAAAGTGGCTTTACTTCCTCCCCAGCTTTCACAGCCATCTTTTTATCTGGGGCAGAGTTGTTTCTGGCTCTGTATACTTGTCCTGCTGCATTTTAATAAGAAAAAGAAAATTTATGATTTTATAGTAAGGATATTGGTAAAGAGACCATAGCTAAAACTTGTAGAAAACTGGATACGTTTTAAAAATCAGATATTTGTAAATTTTTTTCCACTATTCTAGCTAAATTGTTATTTTTTTCACTATGTTAGGCTAAGAAAAAATAATTCAGAGATGGTTGTACTCCAGATGTTATCTGTATGTTTGATTTCAGTTGTAATATCTGAACAACTTACCTTTATCTTCTGTTTATGGATGCCATACTTTGAGTGAAGGGCATATGGTGAGTTGTATCAGCAGCTACGGCAATAGAATTTTACATAGTGAATTTTCCATTTTTGAAAGACTGGCATTCTAACCATCTTGTGTGTTAGAGGGTTTTGGTTTTTTTTTTTAATTCATGTCTTTGTTCGTTTGTTAAATGTTAATTGAATTAAATGGGAAACTTCCAAGTTCCACACAGAACTACAATATTGTACTTAAGAAATTTACTGAACAAGCCATTGGTATGTATTCATATCGGGGCGGGGGGGAGGCAGTTTGCTGTCCTTCAGCATTTTGTAGCTACATACAATATTACTTCTAAAATTATCTTTTTTAAGAACATAAACATGGCCATACTGTAATGGACAAAATTTCCATCTAGCCCAGAATCCCATGTTTGGCAGTGGTCAGTAACAGATGGCTAGAGAAAAGTGTACAGTCCCAGGTTCCAAACACTGATGTCTCAAGTCTTGCCTCTGCTTGAGGTTGTTTCTGTGGACTTAGTAGGCTTCAAAGGATTTATCTTCTATGAACTTTCCCCATCTCCCCATGAGACTAGAGACTAATATTTGCAGCATCCATACTACAGGGTGTTCTACAGCTTAACCATATGTTGTTTGAAGATCCGTATCCTTTTGTCTGTTTTTCAACATAAAATCACTTAAAAGTGAGTCTTATGAAATTTCCTGGCATTTAAGATGATTTTGGAGAATGGAAATCAGAACAGACTTCCTTCATAATTTTTAATTACAGGTGGATTTGTTTCGATATGCAAAGGAGACATTCTGTTAATTTAACATTAAGGGTCTGGGTAATGTCAGTATCATATAAATACATTTGTATTTTCAGTTCTTGTCTCCGAAAGAAAAGAAAAATGAAACTCTGCCTCCCACAGATGAAGGTGGTGATGTTGATGATTTGGTGAGTACCGTAAAGAGATGATGTGGCTATAGAATTAAACTGTAACCGAAAGGTACAGTGAAAGTGAGCAAGTGCTTCTTAACACAGTAGATTAGAGTGCATGGCTTAGAAAACACCAGAAGAATTGAGTCAGAAAAGAGCCACATGAAGTTACTTATTTACTATTGTAAAACATAATCAGGTGTGTAATTTCGTGAGTGTGGCAAATGCTCCGTTATATGGTAACACAGAGTGTTTACATGGGTTAAACGTGTCCTCTAGTGTGTTTTGAAAGAGCCAGTGAGGCTGCACATTTGATAGTAGATTGTTATAACTTACTATAGCATTTAACAAAGCTTGTAGATCTAGAAGAGCTATTTATGTGGGTTGCAAACTGAAAATCGTTTTTTAAAAGATATGTTCATCTTCTCAACCTCTATGTAGGCTTGCTGAAATTCAAGGACTTTGAGAGGTTTTTTAATAAATATTTTAGCCATTTTTATGGGCTGAGTCATTACAAATGTGTCTCCAAGGCTTAAGCTGATGGTGTAGACAGTTTTAAAGAAGCTTCAATAGCAGGCAGATTTCTACTTTTGGACTGTACTTTTTAAAATCTATAAATTGCACACATGATTATGTGAAGATGAGATTTTTAGGTTTGTTTATGTACTTTATAGCAGCTTAGTACTAAGTTTTATGCTGTCCATTTATGTTACCTGTTAAGGATTTACAAATTTGCTTTGTTTTCTAAGTGCTAAACACATGTAAGAAATAACTTGAATTCAATGCTGCTTCTTCCAAATCTGTTTCTTCTATTTGCAGCTGGACATGATGTGATGGGCGATATATGGTGACTATACAAGAAAAGTTTTGGAAGAAATCTCCCTGTGAGATAGGGCGCAAAACAGGATGCTAATGAGAAGACAATATATCCATCTTTATTTTCTCAAATGAGAGCAGAAGTCCCAGAGACATTTCCAGTTGCTATGAATGTCATCTGGCTTTTCAGAACTAGAACAGAAGATTGAAATAATCTGAAGTATTTGTGAAATAACAATACCTTTAAGGCATCTCTTTTTATTTCTTTAGCACACTGAATCTAACTTATCCTTGGTATTGCTTTCAGCTAAACACTACTAAATTTAATGAGAATCTGTGCTGGCACCTGAAATTCTTGTTACATTGCCTGGGAAGAAGGATAGAAATGTCACAGTGAGGTTACCAGGTGATGTTGAATCTTTAGTGAAGGTAACTCCATAGCATTATTGTTACAGATGGGGAAAAAGTCTCTGTTTTCATGCTTTTTTCCTATTTAAAAACCACAGCAAAAAAACCCACAAAGGTTTATGAGAAAAAATTCTAGGCCAGAGAGTCACAAAGTAATAGTTTGAAATACACAACAGAATCTAAAGCATACAACAAAGCCAAGTGTGCTGCACCCTTACTGTTGCTTGTTTGTTACAACCAGATTCATTCTTTTAAAAGCTGTTCTCTCATTATGGAAAATATATAAACATTCCATGCAAAAGGGTATTAAGATCATAAAAAAGAAAAAAAATCATGACCTGTGGTTAAAAAATGTTTTGGAATATGTGCACTTTACGCTGAACAAGAGCTCCAGCATGGGAAATAGCAATTGCTATTTTTCCCCTACTTTTACAGTGACCTGCTCTCTCCTCTCTTACATCCTGTGCTGACTGAGTTCATGCAGACTTTGAAAGGATTTCTTAAATGCAGAAGGCAGGGAGTAAGTGATCTTTCCAGACCTTCAGAGTATTTGTGTAACCAGAAGGTATTTTTCTGTACTGTAAATAAGAAATATTTGGTCAGTCCATTATTTTGAATGCCTTTTAAGGCAAATTTATAGAGTCTAACACTGGCTGGGTTTTTTTCACATTTTATTAATTTGTTTGATTAATAAAATATTTAAAAATTTGCCTTTGTCTTCTTCAGAACCATATTTGTAATAATAACCAGATTATTAGCTACCTATGCAGTATCTAAGAGAGACTATCAAAAGCCCCTTTTCTGGGCATACAATGCAAACACTGAATATCAAGATCCCTCAATAGAAGCAGAGTGTAATTACTTGTTCTATTCATTGCAAACTCTAAACTTCACAACACCTCAATAAAATAATATTTACCATTTTGCAGAAATGATGAGAAATCTTGATCAAGACCAGAGTGGATATAAAATTAGTTTGCAAATCAAAAATAAGGATTAGGGCTTTCTGTTTCTTTTAAACCAGCTGATCCCATTTTTAGAGAGTATTGCTTTTGTCAAACAATAAACATTTAGTTCATTGAGTTTTATTTCATAGATCTTGTTACCTATACAGCACATTTAGGCTCATTATTGTAACTGAGTTGCTAGTACTGAAGAGGGGAATGGGAATTTATGAGTCATAGTTAAAGTGAAAGCAAATTCTTAGAAGGCAAGCAGGTCTTTAGTTCTGCCCAGCCTTCTGGGTATCAGTCATCAGAAGCTTGTGATATGTCTTACTGAGAGTCTATTAGATAGCAACTTGATTTTACACTTGTTCTTTAGTAAAGGGCCAGCTTTCAGGTGGTTATTAAATGATTGGAAGAGATCTTTCACTTAGTCTAAGCTCACATTTTCAGTTGTAAAGTCTGACCTAGTTACTCACTAATTGCATTGGGGGTACTCATTCTGAATTGCATTACGGACCAATCTTCAGAAGCAGCAGAGCAGTTAGTCTTCCACTTCAAAAGCAGATGTGCGGGAAAAGCCTTGCAAGCAGTAGCACATCCCTTGTCCTGTACTTCCTAGCCAGAGAAATTATCAAAATATCTTAAAAAAAAAAAAAAAACTAAAAAAAGAAAAAAAAAAAGGCATTGATTTTGTTATATGTTACTAATTTATCTTCTTTTTTCTCCTGGAAGGAATACCTCTCTGGAAAGCATTTTGGGTGCTAATAGTATGGGGTAGTAACCTTGGTTAGCCTTTTTTGCCGAGAGATCAAAGCTTATGCATGTTGTCTGTGTTAACCTAGTGCTCTGATATCTCTGTAACTCATTAGGCAGTCAGTCAGCTTCGATGGAGGGGTAGGGATTTCAGCATTATGCTTTAAAAGATTTTTATGAAAGTTAATGCTGGAAAGAGGTGAAAGGGAAAGGAATGAAGCATTCAGCCTTTTTACCCTCTTTGGCTGGCCTGGCAGCTGAGAGTACCAGCCAGCAGGGTAATCATCATGTCCCATCAGTAAGATCATGTTGCCTAGTCTGCAAATCCTCTTCCTTCTTCTTTTCCTCAGTTAGAAGAGGAATGTGGACTAGAAAAGATACTTTGCAACATGGACTTTGGGAGTTGGAAGGTATCCAGGGATATTATACCAGCAAGCATAATTAATATGGGAGGGAGCTGGGGCCATAGCATGAAACTGTGAATACTCCACAGAAAGGACAAAATACTAGTTTTGGGAGCCACAGACCAAGAATGAGGTTCTTCCACTTACAATGTACCAGGAATCTGTAAGTAACCAGGCTATTTCCATTGTGCTATTGAAGTGGGTTGCTCCATCACTGAGCAGTGGGGTCTGCTGACTCTCTAATGCAGTTCTCAAATCTTGTCTCATTCATTTTTGTACTCAGAAACCCAGTTTGTGCTCTCAGACAGTTCTGAAAATGTCACAGAAGTAGTGGAAGGTGACTTCCAAATGTTACATAGTTGAAGACTTGTGATTTGTGTGATACTAGATTGGCTTGAAATTAATTGTCTGGTCAACAGTATGGTGTCAGCATGCTTGGAGAGTTCTGGAAGCAAGGCTCCATCTCTGTCCTTACAATGTGGCCTAAAAGTATGACACATACCATCAAAACACTTCTAATGTGAGATCTGTTCTGCTGCACTGCAGTCTCTTAGTTGCTAGGGTAGATTTTCTTCTTGTTAACTTTCCTGAGACGATGCATAAAGGGAGCACAAGCCCCTGAGGAGACCAACTGTGGTGCAGATATTTTTGCCCGAAGCACGTGGATCAGGCAATGCTAGGTAAAGTAAGGTAAAATTGCTGTAATACCCGATTGTTGGTGTTTTATATGGCTTATTTAACCTCTCTGTCTCTTGGTTATACTCCCTTTGCAACTGGAGAAAGTTGTTTACTCATGGTGTCTCACAGAGAAGGCAGTTGAAAGACTTTTGAGGGACTTTGGTTGTTTGAAACTTCATATATAGAGAGTATGTAAGTGCAGAAGTTTTATGGCAGAAGATTTGAGGGCAGGGGATTAAAGGAAGAGAAAAAGCAAGTTATTGTGATGCTCCCTGGGACATGAGGAGAATATGACCATTAGTCTTGAGGAGAGGAGCAGTGGGAATTCCATTAAGTGTCTCACAGTCAGGAGGAGTGTATGAGAGGCAGACATTAAACAGACAAAGACCTGTATTCTGGAGAAATGGACAATCAGTTATTCCACTTAATGGCTTTGAAAAGCAAGGAGAGGAAACAGATGAGATTTCAAAGCTTATTATCGGAAAGAACAGCCTTTCTGTATCTCTTTCACAATCGGAAAGAATGAGCTGTTTTACATAACGAACATTTACTTAGTGTTCTCCCAGACACACACACACTGACCTATTTAAAAATGCAAATGGTCACAAAGTTCCCTTCAGGCAGCAGTGACAAAATCAATGTAGAAGGAATGCGGCTATTCCAGCAAGACAATACGTAATTGGGTTGTATCTTGTCCAGCAGAGATTTCTCTGCAGTCCTCAGGACATGGGAGCGATAGAGGCTTTAATATTTGAATGACTCACAGCTCAAGGTTTACACATGAGATTGTGTATAATCCCCATTAACCCAAAGGTGATGATGACTCAGGTGTAAGAACTGCAGTGAGACAGAGGACATGTGAAAAAGAACAAACGTGAAGAAAGAAAAACATATAGGAATGACCTTTTCCTATAACAGGTCACTGTAACTTGAAACACAGCAAGGGTGACACATACCCAAGGGCACCAGTAGAAATCAAGGGAACCAAGTCGTTGCATGTGTATTACAGAGTGAGTGTGTG